GTGAATTCCCTAACATCTTCTCGTCTAACAGCCACTATCTCTACAACCACCATCGAGGCAATCAGAAATGTTGCTGACATAGAAATCCCATTCCCCCGTTGAGCATTCTTTCCCACGGCAGCCTACGATCACCTACCCTCTTCTGTCTCTACCTCCTCATTCTCCTCCACCACCCTCACTAATCCAGTCAGTATCAAAATTTGCGACTGCCATCGAAACGCTCATCGCTCGTCATTCGATGTCCATTACCTCCTGTTTCATAACAACTACCGAATGCTGCCTACTGTTGTCAAAATTGTCTCCTATTAAAATCCCAAAAATGAGTAAGGAGTAAATCTTTATGGGATAAATGGAGCCGAACCAAATGACAAGAATAGAAAAATAGGAAGTAAAAAGTACAAGAGAAGTGAAATGCGGTGGGGATTAGAGAAGCAAATAGGAGGTGAGGAAGAGAAGGAGGGAGGTGAGGAGGTGAAGTGGAGTAGATGGTGAAAGGAGGGACATTTGTGGGGTGGTCATCTCACTGGTGGCTTGCATCGTAGAAGTTGCTGTTGGTGAAGTCGTCTTCAGTGGTGCAGTAGTCGTAGTTGGTCTAGTAGTTGCAGTTGTGGATGGTCGTCTGGTGGTGGTAGTCGCTGTAGTCCTCGGAGCTGTGGTAGTTGCCCGTGTAGTAGTTGGAGCTGTGGTGGTTGCGCGTGTAGTAGTTGGAGCTGTGGTGGTTGCGCGTGTAGTAGTTGGAGCTGCGGTGGTTGTCGGTGGTGGGCTATGTTTACAAGCATGGGCAAACACGAGGGCAATAAGTAAGAAGACGAGACTGACTTTGGAGAGTTCCATGAAGCGACCGATTTCACTGTGCTACAATTCAACATCTATCAACTTATATAGTGATCGTGGATGCGTGAGTGTTGCTTCTGCCAATCAGCGAACAGCAGCTCCTATCAGTCGACTTCAACACACTTGCATCAACTGCATGCAATGCCCCATCTTCACCCACGTCCATGCACCACTACATGCTGATGCAACATTATCTTCTTGTAAATTATTGTGTCATTGGAGATGTGGGTGGTATTGTGGTATCAGGGGTAGAGAAATTGCAACAGAAGATATTGACTTCTTGTATTCATCGTCAGAACGAAGTCCTTTGTTCTACGACTAAACTCATACGGTCAGCATGGCTCGCCTAATATGAGGAATGTGAATAGTCACCTCCGAGGTACGGCAGGTTACGTTGGGTGCGATGAGCATTGACGTAGATGTTAGAGTGCT